ATCAGAAGCAAAGGGATTCAATCCCAGTGTTCCCCCGCTGCATGCTGATGGGTGGTGTTGGGGTGCAGCTCACACGTGCCCTGCTGCACCCCCAGGGACACTCATCGCCCTTTCCCTCCCACGACCCTAAAAGATGCCAATGAGTTCCCTCAGTGTCACCCCTGGGGCCTGGGTCCCTCTTTAAGCCCCATCTCTGGGGGGCTGCACCCTCCCCTTGCACAGCACAAGCCCTTTGGGGGGAGTCACAGGGACGCTGCGAGCCTAGGAAGGGGATCTGCTGGCTGCAACCCCCTGGGAAAGGACCCGTGGGATGGTGATACAGCTGTAACGAACGGTGCTGAGGGCTAATTATCACTAATTATCACTCCCAAGGGCTAACATCACCCTGCCAGCGCGGTGGCTGGTGACACGGATGCCACCAGGGTGCTTGCGGCAGTGCTGAGCTCTGCCTATTTTTATCTCCTTGATGAAGTTGCTTGGGTCGCTTCCATCCCCAGCAGCTTTAACAGCCCCGGATGGGACCTGCCGGTGCCGCCCCGGCTTTGTGCAGCGAGGACGGAAGAAGCGAGGCAAGCGCCTGCTGCAAAGTCCCCTCTGGAGGCTGCTGGAGCTGGGTGCGGGGTTGTGGTGGGGAGAAAACGCCTCCGTGGGGACAAGGGATGCGTATTCCCATGGTGGTTGCTCTCCCCTTGGATGAGGAGGGGATGAGCCTCACCCCTGTCCCAGCATCATCCACCCCAGGATGCAGGCACTGGATGGTCCTGCCCCAGCTACAGCCTTTCCCCATGGCTTTAGGACAGCTTCAGCCACCCTTTGGATGCTGCACCCCTAAGCAACACCTTCTCACTCCCTTTCCTTCCATCCACCTCCGGGATAACCGAATGCAGGGGGAGCATTCCCTGCTCATGGTTCTGCTCTGGAGCTGGGATGAGGTTTTCCAGCTCGGTTGCAGCAGGGCAGATTGGTGCTGGGGAAGGGGCCGAGGCAGCGCAGCCGGTGCCGGTAACGCGGCAAGAAGGGGCCATTGTGGTGAGGCACAGCTGCACGGTGCCGGGAGCAGCGGGAATGCCAAATGCCAGTGGATGGGAATTGCTCGGGGGATTCACCACCCCCCGGTGACAATACGGGCTTTATGGGGAGCACCGCTGCCACGTCCCAGGAGCTGCTGGGGCCCAGCAGCTGCCCCGATGGGGCCATGTGGGTCCTGTCCGGTGTCCCCATCGCTTTCCCATCCCATGACCCCCGTTCCTGCCCTGTCCCATGTCCCCCTGCACAGCCCCACTCAGCAAAGCAGGGTGGTGGTGCGGGGTGCTCCGAGGACCTGCTCCCTGGGGAACTTGGGCTCCTCTCGAGGCTGATGGAGACGGGTGCTGGAAGCGGTGACAAAGTGACACTGGGGATGTGTCCGTGCCCTTCCCAGCTCTCCTCTGTGACCTGGCGGCAGCGGCTCCTGTTTCTCTTGCCGAGCCCTAGTGAATTATTCAGGCTCTGCCTCTCTGAGGATGCTCCCCCTCGCCTGGAGCGGAGCCCCCTGCACCGGCCGCGGATGGGGATATGGATGTGCCGGCCGCTGAGGTGGGATGAGCAGTGGGAGAGGGAGCGGGAGGAGATGTGAAACCTCCCCAAGCGTGGGGTGATGCTCAGCGTGCGGGAGAGGAGCCTCTGCAAAGCACCATTTCATTTCATTGAAAGGCGAGGAGGAGGGAAGGGGGAGCGGCAGCACATGAGCTGGCCCAGATCCTGTTTCAGCTCTTTTTCATTCTGTATCCGTGCAGTGCCAGCTCCTATTCCCACTGATCCGTGACGGCTGCTCCATCCACACTGGCAGAGATGTGGCTGTGCTGACATGAGCCCTGACGTGGCCCCCAGTGGCTGCTGCGACCCCACGAGGGTTCGGGATCCAGCTCTGGGGTTGAGAGTGAGGTGGAGAACTGTGCGATGCAGGGATCATCCCCGAGATGCTTCTCAGAGGCAGGAAGTGAGGGTTTGTGTGCTGGGCACACTGGGGTGTACCGGGGAGCACCGGGGAGCAGGCTGCACCCCACATGCCCACCCCAGCCTGCCACCCCTCACAGCACCTTCAGTAATGGGCTGAGTGGGGTGAGCACAGCAGGGATGCCACAGCAACGGGAACATAGGATGAGACAGGGATGGGGCTGCAGAACAGGACAGGAATGGGGACATGGGACAGGACAGAAATGGGGATGCAGAACAAGGCAGCAATGGGGACACGTGACAGAGCAGGAATGGGGACACAGGCCAGCAATGGGGCTGCAGAAGCAGGCAGTGATGGGAACACTCGGGACACTGCCACATTCTGCTGAGGCTTCCCCAGCTCCATTCACCACCTCCCCCTGCTCCGTCCCCATCTCCTCAGCCCACAGGGCCGTGCTCTCTGTTCCTGGCTCATGGCTTGTGTCTCATTGCTGCGGGTGGCCACCAGGCACAGATGAGCTGTGGAGGGTGATTTATGCGGGCAGGTTGATGCTGCAACTGTCTGGGAGGGCGGCAGCAGCTGCTCCGGCTGCTCCAGCACAAGGGGGGCAGCAGGAGGTGGGGCTCGGGGCAGGACATGTCCTGGGGGTGTCATGGAGGGGGGTGGTAGGGCTGAAGGGGAATGGGGACGAAGGGGGGGCTGAGTTCTGCTTCAAAGCCACTGCGTGAGACCAAGATTCAAGTCAAGGCTCCGGCTCACCCAGATTTAATCCGCTCTAAATCCCACCTTTAATCTGTTTAATGCCACCTTCGGGAACTGGGATCCTGAGCGATGGCTCCTTCCCACCGAGCCGGGAGGAGGAGGAGGTGGAGGAAGAGGAGGAGGAGGAGGAAGAGGAGGATGCTCCCAGTGCTGGGGTGCTGGGATGGGGATGCACGGCTCGGCGGGACCGCAGGGCTTGGGGGTCCCCAGCACAGGCCGCGACTCCCCGATTGCTGCTTCCCGACCTGGAAACTCCTGCACCCGCCTCCGCGGGCGGGCAGCGGGGGGGTCCCGGTGAGACACCGGCCCTGCGCCCACCGCGGGGGCTCCGGCTACCGCCCCGCCCGTGACACTGCCCCGGCCGAGCGGAGGGGATGCCCGCTCCCGGTTTGCACCGGCCGTGGGGGGTGGTTTGGGGCCGGGTGGGGGTCTAGGGTCTGGGGCAGCCCCCCCAGAGCAGAAGCCGCCCACACCCCCGGTACGGGGGTAGAGAGGGGACTTTGTGGGACCCCCCCGGTGCTGCTCGTGCTCAGCCCGGTTTACCGGAGCCCTCCTCAGCACCCGGCCCGCTCCGCTCCCGGCGCCCCTCGGCTCCGTACAGACCCGTGCCCGTTCCACGCCGCCATAACGGCACCGGTCCCCGCACGCCGGGACCATCGGAGCCGGGGCTCCGGCTCCGGCTCCGGCTCCGGCTCCGGTCCCGGTCCCGGTCCCGGTCCCGGTCCCGGTCCCGGTCCCGGTCCCGGTCCCGGTCCCGGTCCCGGTCCCGGTCCCGGTCCCGGGGGATCCCCAGCCGCGGGTTCCTATTGGCTGCTTTGTAGCAAGCCCCGCGCTGCCATTGGCTGGCACCGCCCGTAGGCTCCGCCCCACCACCCCGCGGCCACCGCCCCTCCGGGCCCCGCTCGGGACCTCGCAGCAGCCGCGGGCGGGAGGCCCGGACCCGGCACCGGCACCGGGGGCACCGGGGGCAGCGAGAGGCACCGGGGGCAGCGACCCCCCCCCCGCCCGGCCCCGCCCGGCCCCGCCCCGTCCCGTTCCGTTCCGCCCCGTCCACACCGGGGGCACCGGAGCAGCCCCGGTCCCGGCGCCGCGCTCCCCCGAGGCAGGAGCAGGTAAGGGCCGGCCGGGCTCTGCTGCCCGCGGGTGCAGCGCTGCCGGGATCGGGCCCTCTCCCCGGTTCCCCCCGGTCCCCGCGCTCCGCGGGGGTGGCGGTGCGTGGTACCTGCCCGGTTCGTGCTTCTCGCCCCGGTACCGGCTTGCGTCTGGAGGGTGAACGCATCCTTCCCGGGTACCCGCCGTGCCTCCCTCCCTCCCCGTGTCACCGGGCACCGGGGTGCCCCCGGGGACCGAAGGTTTGGGGAGTCCCGAGGGGCGGGAGCTGCCGGGTGGGCAGAGCCCGGGGGTGTCCCCAGGAGCCTTTGGCCGTGCCTCAGTTTTCCCGGTACGGGGAGATCGCCCCCAAAACCGGTGGGAAAACCGAGGGGGGCTGGAAGCGTCCGGTGGGTTACGGCTGACGGGAACTCGGAGAAGGCGGAGGAGGCCCCCCTGGGGTCATCTCTGGAGCGAGGGCAAGGATGGGTGCCCCATGGCATCACCCTGGCCTTCCTCTGCACCCAGCCACTGGCTATGCCCCGGGCTCTAAGGAATGAAACTCCCTCATTCCCTTTGGTGAGGCCGGATCCTGCCTGGAGCCACGGAGTTGGATGTAAAACTTCCCAGCTCCCACCAGCCAAAGCTGTATCAGCTCCGGAGCAGGGAAGGAGTTGGGCCATAAACATTCTTTGCCAACCCCAAGCCCACCACGGGATCCAAATTGTCCCGTGGAGCTTTTCTTCCCTCCTGGAGCTGCTTTGTCCTCGCTGATCCCGGGGCAGGAAGCATGTGATGCACCGAGGCCCTCACCACGGGACGGATGGATGGGCAGACGGTCGGTTTGGCCTCTTCCCCCCCTCCCCATCCTCCGTTTTCCACTTCCCCATCAGTCTCCGTCTGCTCCGAGCAAAGGAGAAAGGAAGTTGCAGCCCGAGAGGGCGGCTTGATGGCAGCTCGATAAAGAAAAGGAGGAAATGGAAGGCGACACAGATGCTCCAAAATAACCCCCCCTTCCTCCTCACCCTCCTCCTCTCCTCCCTGCAGCTGCCTCCCCCTCCCCCCCCAGGGCACAGTAATCCCAGAGGGATTCCTTGATATGGCACCAGATCAGCTCCCCCATCCCGAATCGGCACTGTGGGGGTATCACCCCCACCCAGTGATGGAGCACCCGCAGTCGGTGCCCCTTCAGGTGCCAGGATCCCATTCCCACGCAGTGCCAGTGAACGGGAAGCGCCGGCGGGATTTACCACCTACGCCCGGGGTTGGAGCCCCCTTGGATGCAGCGCCCAGCTCCTTGCACAGACACGTTGGAGCTGCTGGGGCAGATCGACATTCCCAGGCATTGGTGCAAAGGAGAAACCAGAACCCTTCTGTTCCTTCCTGTGGGTGCCCTCGCTGGGGCTGCATTCCGGGGCACCTGCAGGAGGAAGATGATGGGATTGGGGCATTCAGATCCCAGCGCCAGGGATGGTGAGGATGATGACGGGGACGTGTCCAAGTGCGTGGTGTGAGCACCAGGAGCGAGCGGAGCGCGATGCAGCGTGTGGCGCCCGGCTGAGGCGATGCCAGCACTTCCCACCGCATCCCTATCCCCTGCTCCAGGGAGCCGTGGTGGCCGTGCCAAGAGGAGTTTTTCCTCAGGCGAGGTGTTTACCCAGTGGCTTCCTCCCTGGCCTCACCCCGCTGGGCATACACGCGCCGGACCCGGCGCCTTTTGGTGCTGTTTGCGCCCATGGCAACGTGCGAGTGCCGGTGGTTGTGAGAGGCGGCGTTTGTCCTTCCTCTTCCTCCTCCTCTGCTGCCCCGGCGCTGGTAAACGGGGGTCTGGAAGCTGGGAAGGCTCAGGGATGGGGAGGGATGGGTGGTTGGGCTCTCCGGTTACATCGCTGCGCTCTGACCCGGCTCCTGTAATCCAGCCCGGTGCGGGGTTTAATTAATGAAGAGGGCTTGGAGGTGCAGGGAGCTGGTGGAAAGCGATGCCAGGGGGTGCAGAGCGGAGCAGCGGGATCACATCCGTCACACGGGCGTGTGGCCAAGGACTGGGAGGCACCGGGGATGCTGGGGTGCGGAGAAGGGGTGATTTCCAGAGCAGCGTGCATGGGATGGAAGGGAAACCATGAAATGTTTACTTTGGCTGGGAGGAAACTTGTAGCAGGTTAATATGGCCCTGGTGAGGAGGAAGAGGAGGAAGGAGGAGGAGGAGGCAGAGGTGCCCCTGCTCTCAGATGGAGCTTTGTGGATGCCTCCCCTTGCTCCGCATGCCTGCTCCGTGCCCATGAATTATTGAAGTGCTTTTGCTTCCCTGCATGAGATATGGAGCCCGATGCTGAGTGAGATGGGGGGTTCGGAGGGGAAAGAGGGCTGGGGTTGGTCAGGGGCGAGGGGTCTTTGGGGCAGGTAGGAATCGCCTTGGGACTGGCAGGGTGATGGGGTCTCGTGCTCCCCCCTGCAGCCAGGAGCTTTCATTGATGCTCTGTAAGGAGCGGGCCACGCTCTGCTCATGGCCGTGCCCTCACTGGTGCAGGAGATGGTTTCTGGGCTGTCCCCATTTAGACGGGGGCCGAGGCTGCGGCCGGGTGTTGGATGCGATGCTCGTGGCTGTCCCCAGGGGACCCCATGGCTGTGTCACTGCATGCCCACCTCACCCGGGACGCCCACCCCCGCGGCTGCAACCTCCCCACTGAAACCTGCCAAACGGGTGGAAACCCCCCCAAAAAAGGGCTGTGACTCCCCAGAGCCACCGCTGGGACCGCAGCTCTTCCGGAGCAGGGAGGGACTCGGCGTGAGCAGCGCCCGGCTGCTTGGCTTGGGACAAGAAGCTGGGTTTTGAGGGCGTTTTCGTTAAAAAGAAGAAGAAGGGGGGGGAGGAAACAAACAGACCCCGAGCAGGGCTGCGGAGTTCAGCAGCAGGAAGGAAACCGAGCGGTTTATTTCGGTCTCGAGTCTGCTCCGCGGGGCAAAGCTTTGCCTCTTCCGTGCGCCGACAGCAGCCCCTGGGCGAACAATGGGGCTGCGGGGCCCTTCCCGCCAGGAAAACAGCGCGTTCCGGTGACAGCTCCTGCGTGCTGCTGAGTCAGCAGGTCCTGGCGGGGCAGACGGAGCCGGGCGCACGGCCCCGGGGCCAGCGGGAGCCGACGTGCGGGGAGGTGAGCGGGGTTCCCTTGGCCTTTGCAGGAGCGACCTCAGAGCAGCGCAGCGGGGTGCTGGGACGGGGCAGGGTGTGCTTGGGGGGCCCAAAGAGACCCCTCGAGGCCGCTTCGTGCCTCGGTTTCCCCCCACAAGTGAGGACTGGTTCCCTGCAGGAGGGGGCTGTGGGCAGCCAGCTCTTGTTCAGTGCTGGAGCGGAGGCTGCTCTGTTTTTGCAGGTGCTGATTGGGAGCCGTGGGTGTGTGGGGCAGAAGGAGCTGGGGCTTCCTATTTTGTAAGGGCTCCGTAGGTGGGATCTGCGCTCCCTTTGTGGCTGCAGCCGCTCTGCAGAGAGCTCAGGTGCGGGAATCCCTGTTTACAAGGCATTGCTCCCAGTGGGGAGCACAGGGCACCCACAACCGCCGCGCAATGCAGGGGAAGGGACCTCCGTGGTGCCCACACCTTGGCAAAGCCGTGGTCCTTCTGGAAGAGGCTGCCTGCTGCGGGCAGAGCCGATCCCCCATAGAGCCAAAGGGAGCAGAGATGGAGCCCATCCTGCCCATCCCTCCGGGCTCAGCTCCAGCAGCACCTCCCGCATGGAGCCATTGGCATTAAAGTGATCCCGGGAGCTGCCTCTGCTTTGTCATTTGTGCCTCAGGAGCCGGAGCTCGAGGCTCACGCTGGCAGCAATCGATGTCTTCACATGGAAGGAAGCACTCACAAACGTCCGTGTTGTTCCTCAGGGCTGTAAATAACGCTGCAGGCGGCAGCTCCGTTACTGCATGCTCAGCTCATGCCCTCACGGAGCCTTGGCCTCAGGGAGCCGGTGGCTGGGAGATGCTCAGGAAGCCAGGGCTCAGTTTGCACCATCACCCATGCACCATCAGCTGTGCTCCATCACCCATGCACCATCACCCATGCACCATCACCCATGCACCATCACCCGTGCTCCATCACCTGTGCTCCATCACCCGTGCACCATCACCCATGCACCATCACCCGTGCTCCATCACCCATGCTCCATCACCCGTGCTCCATCACCTGTGCTCCATCACCCGTGCACCATCACCCACGCACCATCACCCATGCACCATCACCCATGCACCATCACCCATGCACCATCACCCATGCACCATCACCCGTGCTCCATCACCTGTGCTCCATCACCCGTGCACCATCACCCACGCACCATCACCCGTGCTCCATCACCTGTGCTCCATCACCCGTGCACCATCACCCATGAACCATCACCCGTGCTCCATCACCCATGCTCCATCACCCATGCACCATCACCCGTGCTCCATCACCCATGCACCATCACCCGTGCTCCATCACCTGTGCTCCATCACCCATGCACCATCACCCATGCTCCATCACCCGTGGTCCATCACCTGTGCTCCATCACCCATGCACCATCAGCTGTGCTCCATCACCCATGCACCATCACCTGTGATCCATCACCCGTGCTCCATCACCCGTGCTCCATCACCCATGCACCATCACCTGTGCTCCATCACCCATGCTCCATCACCCGTGCTCCATCACCCATGCACCATCACCTGTGCTCCATCACCCATGCACCATCACCCGTGCTCCATCACCCATGCACCATCACCTGTGCTCCATCACCCATGCACCATCACCTGTGCTCCATCACCCATGCTCCATCGCCTGTGCACTGTTCCCCTTGCACAACTGGCTGCAGTGAGGTGGACCCATGGCCACAGCCGGGTATCTGAGCCCTGCTGGGGTCTGCTCCCATGCTCCATGGTGGTAGGAGCAGGATTGAGGATCCCTGTAGGGTCTCAGCCAAGGGGGCCCTGGTGCTGCCCATGCTGAGGGCAGACTCAGAATTGGGGCTGCAGACAAGAGGCTCTCCATACCCATGGCCAGTTTATCCCCATCCATTGTCACACCAGCAGCATCCTTTAGCTTCAATAGCTCCTCTCCCCTCCCTGGTGATGTTTTTACAGCCTGATCCCGTCCCCTCCTGCTGCCTCTGCGCCAGGCTGACCGTGCCACGTGCAGGTTCTTGCATAAGCAGCCCCCATCCCTGCCCATCCGTCCTGGCGTGGGAGCTGCTTGTTCTCACGCTGTTCTTGCCTCCCCGTGCTTTGTGGCTCCGTGATTTCCTGGGCCAGGGATGCAGCTCCAGGCTCGGTGGCTTTTGATTCATTCACAGCACTTTTCAAAGTGGATCTGGCCCCGCCGGGGTGCGGGGAGCTGGGCTGCGGCTGAGCAAGGGGTGAGGTTTGTGGCTGCTTGAATTATTCACCTCCATGCAACGCTCAGGAGGAAGCAGAACGAGTCCGGGCTCCAGCGCCATGGGTGTACCAGGGCAAGGGCCTCCATCCATGCTGGTGGGTGCTGCAAACCGGCTGTGCCACGTGGCTGCGGGTGACTCAACCAGCACCTGGGTCGTCCCCAGCTCACCCTGCAGGAAATGAGTCAGGGTTTCAGGAAGACAAAAAGGTTGAAGTGATGGGGCAAGAGCCCTTCCTGCACCCGGAGCAGGCGGCGCCGGGCAGGACCAGGACGGGGATGGAGGGTCACAGGCGATGCTCAGGTAGGGAGACCTCAGTCGCCGCTGGCACTGCCCATTGCACTGCAGCTTTCCCCCAGGGTTTGGGGCAGGAAGGTGGGAGCACCCTGTAACTCATCCAGCTCAGCTCCTGCCTTGCACCCAGGAGCTCTTCTTTGTCCTGCTGTTGGTTGGAGATGCTCTTCCTCCTCCCAAAAGGCTGAGGGGGTAGGATAAGAGATGGGGGCTGATGCAGGACATGAACTGTGTGTGTGCCTCTTCCCCTTGCAGAGATGGACACCTTCAGCACCAAGAACCTGGCCCTGCAGGCCCAGAAGAAGCTCTTGAGCAAGATGGCTACCAAGACCATAGCCAACGTCTTCATTGATGACACCAGCAGCGAGATCTTGGATGAGCTCTACCGGGCCACCAAGGAGTACACCCACAACCGCAAAGAGGCGCAGAAGATCATCAAAAACCTCATCAAGATCGTGATGAAGTTGGGCGTTCTCTACCGCAACGGGCAGTTCAGCGCCGAGGAGCTGCTGGTGATGGAGCGCTTCCGCAAGAAGGTCCACACCTTGGCCATGACGGCCGTCAGCTTCCACCAGATAGACTTCACCTTCGACCGCAGGGTCATGTCGGGCGTGCTCACCGAGTGCCGGGACCTGCTGCACCAGGCTGTCAACGGCCACCTCACCGCCAAGTCCCACTCCCGCATCAACCACGTCTTCAATCACTTTGCGGACTACGAGTTCCTCTCGGCTCTCTATGGGCCATCCGAGCCCTACCGCACCCACCTGCAGCGGATCTGCGAGGGGGTTAACAAGATGCTGGAGGAGGACAACATATGAAGGTGGCCGAGGCAGCGCGGGCGCCTGGTTTGAGCAGCACCGGGCTCGGTGTCCTCTTCTCTGCAGCACAACCCCATTTGCTCCTTGTGTCTCCACCAAACTGAACCTCTCGACTGTGTCTAACCCTTGCCCAGGGTCTGCAAACCCCTCCCTGTGCTGGGCTGAGCCCTTCCCGGGTGACCCTGGGCCTCTGGGCTCCTGCTGTACAGTTTCATTTCCTTTGTCCACTAAGTGCTCTTAGCTCCGGGTCCAAGGAACCGGACTCCTCCCCTTGATCTCTGTTGTAACTCTCCTGGGGGAGACCCAGACCAAAGGCTCTTGGTGTGTGACGCCTCTCGGGGCTCTCTGAGCGGGGGGCGGTTGTTTGGATGGACACTGGTGAGGGCTGGGGAGCCCCATGGTTTCCTTTCTGCAGCTCCACGATGTGCTGGGAGCAAATCGTGGCCCACACTGGCACCGCACGGGGGGGAAGGCGTTTCTGCACCTTGCAGGCTCTTCAAAGACAAGGCCTGGGGACCAGAAGGATCCCACCCCACCTGTCCGCGGGAGCAGGGAGGGAGCTGCTCCTTCCCCGCATCCCAGCTACATCAGAGACACAATTCCCCCCCCCGGCTGCTGCGGTGGTACCACTGCGGTGGCTCCGGTGCCTTTGGTGGTGTCCAAAGCCCTCCCATGGATTCCATACATTTCACGTGTCCTCCGCTGAGTTCTGGCTGTGGTTTTTTAGCCGACTGTAGCTCTGATGAGTGACGGAAATAAACCAAACTCATCCTTAAATGGAGATGGCTCCCTGTGACCCGGGCTTTGTGCTCTCCAGCCCCAGCATCGCTGCTGCCCCTGCTCCCTGCAGCGGGAAGCAGCTTTGCAGGATTCAGGGATTCGGTGCAGGTGAGTTGGGCTCTCGGAGCATGAATGCCCCAACCGGAGCCTGTTCCCAGCACGCTGAGCTTGGCTTTGAACACGGGAAATTGCCCTTTCAGCAATCAGGACACGGCACAATCTCATCCGGCCTTATCTCCACAGCCTCCTCGTGCCTCCTGTTCCATGGGATGTCTCCAGGCACAGGAGGACGGCAGTGCTGATGGGCAGAGCATTGTGCTTCCCGTTCGCTGCTACCTTTCCACCGCTGGCTCGAGGCACTGAGAACTTCCAGCCTTTAAGATTAAATAAAAGGAATCCCCCCCATCTGGGTCATTCCACAGGCCTGGCTCCGGATGTCACAGCCAATGCAGTTGTGTGACAGAGCGCGGGGTGGGGGGTAAAGCACCTTTAGGGGTGTCCATGGAGGAGAACGCGGCCGAGCTCCACCGAGGCGCTGGGCCCTTGGGGAGGGCAGGGTGAAGTCGCCCTTTGGCCCACGGTGTTTGGGAGCAGACGTTCCTGGTTCTTTCCAGCTCACGGCAGCTGCCAGGGACGTGCAGGAGAGGAGCCAGAGCTGGAAGCAGCTCCCGGAGTTGCCAGCGGATGCGGGGAGCAGGCAGGGCAGAACGGGGCTGATGGATGCGGCGGCTGCGCTGACACAGGCACTTCCCTGTTCTGCTCTCACGGTGCACACCAGCATCAGCTGCAAGAGGCTCCTTAATTGCATGGAACATCCCAGCGCAGATGAGCCCCGACCCCGTCCCCAGGGTTTCGTACACCCCAGGACCACAGTTAACCCACCAGTGCCTGCCTTTGCCTTCGCATGCAGGTGCCTCATCTGGAACTTCTCCCTCACACCCCATGGTGAACACCCACCTTGTTCCCAGAACTCCGAACGGAGCAAACTGGGGCCAGAGCTTGATGCTTTATTCCTTTATTGGTGGTGCATTTACACAGGGAAGGAATTCCACTTTCCCTCGCTGTTACGACTCGAGATAAGAAAAAGATCCCTTCCGTACGTAGAAAATAGTCCTGCAGTTGTACTGAGGCATGGAAGTGGTGCTCGGGTTGGTTCCTGGGTTGTGTCAGAATAAGCAGCTCTGCCTTCCCCATGTCCAGTTACCTCCCAAGCCCTGCTCTGCACTAGGGCAGGGCAGGAACATCCTCCCCAGCGCAGCCATACTCAACAAGGAGCCCGACAGCTTTGGCCAACTCTATCCCTTCCTTCCCCCTCCCACCCAACTGGATTGTTGGCAGTCCTGGGGGAATGGTTGGACTTGATGATCTTAAAGGTCTTTTCCAACCCAGTTGATTCTGATTCCTCCTGTCAGGCTTGCAGAGAGAGAAATCCCATCCTTCCCTCTGGAGACTACAGAGTTAAGAGCTCCCCTTTAGCAAACCTTGGTTCAATCCAGCCACTTATCTTTCTGTGCTTCTCTTCCTAGCAAGGGAGATAAGGAGCCCCCGTCTGAGGGGAGCTTCACCATATTCAGCAGATCAACCAAGCAGAAAGCGGGTGACAGAATGGCTGGCTGCAGATCAGGAGTCTCAGAGGAGGTTTCAGCTGCAAAGCACATCGTTACTCTGACACAAGCCAGAATGCATCTGCCTTAACACCCCCAAGCCCCGCTTGTGTTGGACCCTAGCACATTTCAATATGGAAAACATCAAAAGGTTTGGCCAACCCCCAAACCCAACCCCCTGCCGTTAAGCAGTGATCCTCTTTATCTGCCGTGCTCTTCCGACCAGAACACCCTGCCCAGCGCCGGCCCCGGGGTCACAGCTCCTCACGGGGTGTTCTTGCTACAATCATGAGCTTGGAGAGTTCAAAACGGAACTTGCCTTCCCTGTGAGCCACTGGAAAGAGAGAAAACAAGGCCAGCATAAAGCAGATGGGAGGGCATGCACAAACCAGCCCTGCTGGGTCCTTTCCAGGACCATAAAGCCAGCAGGTCGGGCACTGCACTTCCTTCTGCTGCACACAACAGGCGCGCTGGGATAAACCCATTCTTCCCCCGTGGTAATTTAACACTTACACTGCAAAACCCAGCCCCGGATGCCCCTGCCTCCATAGCACACACTGGCACCTCTCTGCATGGAGCTGTACTCGGCCCCCGCTTGTCTCCCAGCCCCTTTCTCACAGAGCTCTCAGTCACAGACCTGTTGTTTCGGTGACCTCAAACTCTTCCTGTTTTAAGGGGATGTCGCTTTGTCCACCCGCCGCAGCCTGAGACTGAAATGGGAAGGAAGGGGTTTAGGCAGTTGAGGCAATGCAAGAAGCTGCTCGCTTTAAAGGAAACAAAGCAGCAGCACGTGTTGAAAGGGAATGAATTTGTGTTTTCATCACGCGGGGCGACAGGATGCCACCCTCAAAGGAAACCTGACGGAAAACCTCTGGCTAGTTTTCCATCCCTTACTGAACCATGAACTCGTGCCTGAAAGCCTCACCTCGGAAGGCCGGGAAACGGGAGACTGCACCAGCCACAGCACCAGCAGAGGGGTTATTTACACTGCCACATGGGGTTTGCTGAGGCAAAGCAAGCCTCCCGTGCACTGCAGCCTGCCAGGGGGGAGTCTGCGGAGCCACCAGCAGACCCAGGGTGTTGAGGGAGCACCAAGGCAGCGGTGCAGGAGGCTGTACCTGCAGCTGCTCTCCCGCTGCCACCGCTCTCTAATTAGGGACGTGATGGAGGACGTTTTATTGCACAGATGTCTAATAAATGTTTTCCATGTCAAATTCATGTTTTATAGCAGCCTCCCACACGCCTGCTTCCAAGCGATCAGCTGGGACTTACGTAAGCCATGGCATACTCTATCTTGGCTCCTTTCACTTCGGCTTTAAACTGGGTAAAGAAGAGATAAGACTTCCCCTGGGGCCTGAAATGAGAAAGCAGAGTCTTTGACACGGGCAGAGAGGCTGGAGGCGCAGCTGAGCTCAGGGCTCACAGCTCCCTCCCTCCACAAGCACCTCTGGCTCTCCTGTGGCTCCATCTAATGAGGAGGGTGGAGCGGGGGCCACAGCACCCATGAACCACCCTGCAGAGGCAAACCCAGCCCCCCTGGCCCAGACCCCAGTGGCCTCACTGTTGGTTGGGGTTAAGGAACACACCTCCAGACGGAGCAGGAGAAGAGCTGCTTGTCTTCACTGACTCCAACGTTCATCTGCCACTGCTGCAGAGGGGAAAGGTCCATACAGTCACTGTGGGTGACCCTAACCCTAACCCTTGTACATCTCCCTTGCCCCAGAGACCAGGCACGTCCCCTCCAGCTGCGGCCATGGCAGGTTTGAGCCATCCCACAGTAACACAAGGGAATACACATGCTCCTGACAGCCCCTTCTGCTGCGTGTGGCACAGGGGTCCAAGCCCGGCTGCCATCCCCATCCCCAGTTCTGTTGGTACAGCCACAGAAGGGAGTGAGTGAAAGCCTCATTTCTCCTTCTGCTCACACAAAGGGACCTGACTGGAACAGGACTTGCAGAGGAGACAGCACAAACTGCATCTGCACAGCACCTACAGCATCCGCACGGCACCTACTGCACCTGTACGGCGCCTACTGCACCGGCACGGCACCTACTGCACCTGCACTTCACCTACTGCACCTGCACTTCACCTACTGCACCTGCACTGCGCCTACTGCATCTGCACTGCGCCTACTGCATCCGCACAGCGCCTACTGCATCCGCACTGCGCCTACTGCATCCGCACGGCGCCTACTGCATCCGCACGGCGCCGACTGCATCCGCACGGCGCCGACTGCATCTGCACGGCGCCTACTGCATCTGAACGGCGCCTACTGCACCTGCATGGCACCTACTGCACCCGCACTGCACCTACTGCATCTGCACGGCACCTACTGCATCTGCAGGGCACCTACTGCATCCGCACGGCACCTACTGCACCTGCACTGCACCTACTGCATCTGCACTGCACCTACTGCATCTGAATGGCGCCTACTGCACCTGCACAGCGCCTACTGCACCTGCACAGCGCCTACTGCATCCACACTGCACCTCCTGCACCTGCACTGCACCTACAGCAGCAGCACCACGAGCTGCAGGAAGGCTCCCCAAGAAGCAGAAGCGGCTCCTACGCGGCCCTTCCGGCCCAGCGGGGTACGGAAAGGGCTCTCCCTGCTCTCCAGACGCATCCAGCCCAGGATGCGCTCAGCACCCCAAGCACCAGGGCCGCAGGAGCGCGGCACAAGGCGCCGCGGGCAGGGAGCTGCTTCAGCAAGCAGAGAGCGTCGGGACCGGTGCAAGCGCCGCTGCCCGCAGCCGCCCACGGGCGCAAGTGGAACCCGAGGGTTTCCCCGCCTCACCTCGTTCGTTCCGCCCTGGGCCGAGTACGTGAAGGTGCAGGTGCGCTCCTCCTGGAAGGGGAGGAGGGGATGAGCCACGGCACAAAGGGTGAGGGGCCCATGGCCGCCCCTTGGGCCCCCGTGCGGCAACGAGGGGACATCTGCGGGCACCTCAGGGGGTGACCCCCGGGGGTCAGCGGGGCCCCGTGGTGCCGGGGGACCAAGGACCCACAGCCCCTTCTCCATGGGGAGGCTGCTCCTTCCCGCCGGGGACCCCTGCACCCCGCGGGTGCCCTCCTCCCGCAGCCGCCCCTTTCTCCTCGGGGGCACTGCCCATGGCACGCTCCGTTCCACGGAGGTCTCCTCACACAGGGGCTCTCCCGTTTTCCTCCGGGACCCTCCCGTTTTCCTTGGGGACCCCCTTCTCCTTGGGGACCCCCCCCTTTTCCTTGGGGACCCCCCTCTCCCTGGGCTCCCCCCCCTCCGCAGACCCCCCTCAGGGACCCCTCTCCCGATGGGGTCCCCCCTCCCCCGCCCCTTAGCAACCAGCACGGACCCCCCCCCCCCGTTAACCCC